TTAATCCACTTGATCTTAACAAAGTTCTAGTCGGGCGACAATGTTGAATCGCCTTGGATATGATAATAACCTATCTGAACTAGCGACGAATGGTCTGGGTTATCGTAAGATACTTTTGTGGCTAATTTAATATCATGTAATATTTTGGAACGCCTATTAATCAGGCTATGTAGCAAAGTGTATCGTTCTTCTTTTAATTATAAATGCAATTTGGTGTTTCACATAAGTCGGATCGAGGCAATCGCATGATAGATTAAAACCCATAATTATTTGCCCACAATAAAAATATAAATACGATAAAAATTTATAGAGCGTATGAAATCAATCAAAGCGCAAAGATGTAGTGGCTATCTATGATAATTACAATATATACATGGGTATACTTGGTTGTAAAGTTTAATTTGACTCCACTTATAATTTATTCTGAGTAAACATAGTATGTACTCATATTAAAACGGTATTTTCGAGACACTTATAAATGCAGATCTCAATAAAGTTGGTTGACTTTTTTGAAATATTATCATTTTGTCGCATAAATCTTTTTAAATAAAATACCTAATTATTTGCAATAATTTAAGTTTTGCCATTTTCGTATATAAGTAAATATCGAAGACAATTCCGGCATCTATAAAAGTTTGGGATCCCTTATATAAATAATACAAAAATAAATATTTTTTTATGCGTTCGAAAAAAATATTTATGATTAATTGATATTAGCAGCCAAATATTCAATTTTTGAACACATAGAAAGAAAATATAAGTAAACGTACCTTATTCAGTGATTGCCGAAGATCTAGCACGATATTCGTCTTTGTTAATATAGCAGCCTATAGGTTCATGTCACAATCTATCATTTGCCACGATTGATATTATAGCAAACGAGTCTCACTTTAATACGCCTTTAATTTAATAGATAGACTAGAAATGACGGTGCCACTGGTGATTGCGGCAAGGGAATACTGAATGGTGGGTGCTGGCTTAGCTCTGATTCCGAAATGCCAATCACAAGGCAGGTCTTAGCATTCACTGTAAGTAGATTAGCTTGTACTGCAAGCAATCACAGTAGTTCAGTCCATTTGCTAAATGTAAGCGTACGGAAGAATGGCTAATCAAAATTTGATATGAATTTGACCCACTTTAAATCTATGAGACGCGTTTGTTACTATTGTAACGATTTTGCTTTTTTGCTCGTGTCTTTCGTCAAGCAAATATTCCGCAAGCTATGTGTCAGAGTTGCCAGGAGCGAGTCGTGAGAATCTAGCATAGTGTAAAATTGTTTAGACAGTTCTGTGCTCGTGCGACCCGTACATGTAACCACAACTTTATAATAAAAAAATTCCTAGTCAGCCTTAGATTTCGCCGAACGTATAGTGAGTTGGGATATAGAACTATATATCAGACTATATACGCAGAAATTATTGGACAAGTGGATAAAGGTTTGATTAGGTGCAAACGAATTCATTCACACTACCAGACATGCCGATACACTATAACACGATACGATGAATCGTTGATGTTTGAATTGTATGTAATTACATTTAGAAAATTATTATTTCCATCCGTCCGTCCGTACATACGCGCGCACACACACGTAACCGCCCGCATGCACACACTCAAACTCACACACGCACACGCACGCGCGCATCTAAACACACGCACTCCGGGTGTCTGGACGTATTGAGGGGTTGTGTGGTAGGTTTACGTGTAGCTATGAAGAACCTGCTTCCATATGATAATTATTGCTCGCACTGCATGAGCATACTGAGCGTATTCGCAAGACGCAGCTGCTAGTGACGAAGACGGTAGCGCTATGACAACTGAATCTTAATGACAAACTTTTCCCGCCCGAGGGAGTTGGAAGAGTTGACTGTTGTTGGGGTCGTGCTGGTGTTGGAATGAGGTATAGATGGCGTTTCCGCATAGCGTATGCGCGCGCATGCAGTCATACGATCTGGCACATGTAACCACCCATAAATATTCCATATACAAATGGATGTAGATAATATATACATTATATATATGTGTGTTTGTGTGTGCGTGTGTGTGTGTGTGTGTGTGTGTGTGTGTGTGTGTGTGTGTGTGTGTGTGTGTGTGTGTATGCGTGTGTGTATACACGCACGTACGCATCAGCTAGCACGCGCGTGCACGCGCGCCCAGTGAACGCTCATGCGAAAATAGCTACGTGCGTGCGTCCGTGCTTGTACCCGTGTGTGCGTGCGTGCTTGTGCCCGTGTGTGGATGCGTGCGTGCTAGTACTCGTGCATGCGTGCTTGCGTGCGTGCTTGCACCCGTGCATGCGTGCGTGCGTGCGTGCTTGTACCCGCGTGTGCGTGCGTGCTTGTGCCCGTGCGTGCGTGCTTGTACCCGCGTGTGCGTGCGTGCTTGTACCCGTGTGTGCGTGCGTGCGTGCTAGTACCCGTGCGTGCGTGCTTGCACCCGTGCGTGCTTGCTTGTACCCGTGTGTGCGTGCGTGCGTGCGTGCTTCTACACGTGCCTACGTGCACGCGCAGCTGCGTGCGTGCGTGCTTGCTTGTACTCGTGTGTGCGTGCGTGCGTGCTAGTACCCGTGCGTGCGTGCTTGCACCCGTGTGTGCGTGCGTGCGTGCGTGCGTGCGTGCGTGCGTGCGTGTGTGCGTGCTTCTACACGTGCCTACGTGCACGCGCAGCTGCGTGCGTGCGTGCGTGCTTGCTAGTACCCGTGCGTGCGTGCTTGCACCCGTGTGTGCGTGCTTGCCCCGTGTGTGTGCATGCGTGCGTGCGTGCGTGCGCGTGCTTAACCGCATGCATTACATTGCGCAGCTAGACTAACATGCGTGTCATGTAATTTTAGAGCGAGAAACAATCAGTAATTACAATTCGTTACCCTCCACATCAGTGAGCTTAATTGTTAGCTGCGCGCCTAATTACCGTGCCTCGGAACAACGCCCGCACCAGTACACAAGGACGGGTATATTTTCGCACGTCAATCTATAGGTAGACGGTGAGGTTGCGACGACCATACTGTATATGCTACTATACAAGGCTGCGCCTATTCGAATTCATGCAGCCCGTTCGTAGGATAATAAATTGAGTAGTAGAGTCACTAGACGTTCGATGTAAGGGCGCTATCCAGTTTTTCGTGCGCGCGCACGCTGTGGAATATAAGAAATATATGCAATTAATTAGCAAGGGAAGCCACGCTTTGTTTTGTTTGGGAACGCTGACATATGTCAGCCAGCTAGGCCGGTTTTATCCAGAATCTGTCAGATCGAAATTCTCGCGTAGCCTAAGAGCTGTATACGCGCCGACGTCTGTGCGTATGTTGTCTACAGCGATAACTTGTCCTTGGAAATGGTCGGTCGGTCGGTCGGTTGGTCGACTTAGCGCCTCGTCGCTTTGTTTCGTTCATACCTCGCGCTCATTTCTATCTCTCTCTCTCTCTCTCTCTCTCTCTTTCTCTCTCTCTCTCTCTCTCTCTCTCTCTTTCTCTCTCTCTC